CTTTTTATAAGATTGAAAACAATTTCATTCGTTGAAATTGGTTGTTATCTTCCCATTCCCTTAATYTGAAAAWATTAAATAAGTGGATTTGAAAAGATCTACTTACAATTTTATGAATTGACGGCTTACCCGGAGGATTTTCATTCATTCTTGTGTATGATGAAATGATTCTCATTTCATCATAAGGGGGAGTATGAAATAATGAATGAAATGTCCAATTCCGATCATTATAAGGGGAATTTGATGTAAAGATCAAGAGGGAGTAACATCAAGTCAGCAAAAGATTCAAAAGGAGTGCGACTGCAGATAATTACAGAAAGATTATTCTTGTGCTAAAACGACTGAGAGTTTTTGAATGAGAAGCTTATCGTTTCAAAAGTTTACCAACAGAGTTTTTCTTATCAAAGAGAGAGTTTGTGACTTGTTGTCTGAAGATTATTTGAAGATCACATCTTGTACATTATTTCTGAAGATTACTGTTCTATATTGTCAAAAGAGAAGATCATCGATGTTCTACATTCGAGGGGGAGAATGTTAGAAGATCTTTCTCAACAAATGATTGTCTGAAGTTTCAAGTTGAAGATTGTTTTTGAAGAAGACAGATTGTTTAATGCTTCAAAGTTCAAACGAGGCTCAAAGCGCGAAATTTCTTTCAAGTCTGAATACAAAGGGGGAGAATGTTAGGAATGCAATTCAATGTAAAATTGTAATTGTCTTGAAAGATAAAATTGTCTATAATTGTATAAAAGTCATCGTGTTTGACTTTTATTATGATAGTTTGACTTTGACTATTTTGTCTAGTTTGACCCTATATAAAGGGTGTTGGCTTTGTAATTTTAGTAAAAAAAAAAGTTTCATTGTAATATCAATATTCGTATTGTAAAGTTTGACCAGGAATTCAGATCTTGACTTTCTCTTTCTCTACTCCTTCTAGGGTTCTTACATGAAATATCTTTCTGCCATTGTTGTTCTTGAAGCTTTCAAGAAGATTGATTAATTGGGACACACAACGTGTGATGTTATGGAGCGCATCATACGGGTTGTCGGTTTCGTATATATGCATAACAGCACATTGGGTTGAGCCTACAACATGACATTTATTCAAACGTGTAATCGCGTTTGAACCGTCAATTTTCGATTATTAAAAAACTCTTGCATTTTATAATTTAACCGCTAAAATAATTAGTATTTCATTTGATAACGCTAGTAATAACAATTCTTGTGTGAAAAAATTAAAGTGTCATTTGACACCTATTTTAGACGGTAAATTATTTCATATACGTTGTTGTGAACATATAACAAATTTAGCCGTTCAAGACGGTTTAAATACTTGTAAACCCGTAATAGATAAGTTTAGACTTATGTTGCGGCGAATTTTCACAATGTGAAAAAATGCATGCGGCCTATAGAAAGTATTGCGAGGACGTCGGTTTTAGAGCTTTGGGACCGAGCCACGATATGCCCGTTCGTTGGAACTCGACATATTTTATGATTGAAAATTTATTAAAACAATTTTTTTTTGCTTTTTATAGATACCATTACCCGCAAAACTCTATTGGAAATCATGATTGGGCCGTGCTTGAAGGGTTGTACGATATTTTAGGCGATTTTTAAAATGAGACAACACTTTTATCGGGAATTTATTGTCCAACAAGCCCTTTGGTTTTAAACAATATCTATATTTTGGCAAGTAAAATTGTCTAATACAAAGACCATCACAATTGGGGAAGGTTGATGTCTTGTATGGAAAAAAAAAATTGTTAAAATATTTTATGGGCATCCCATTTGCTTTTCTTTGTGCAGCGGTGTTAAACTCGTACTTAAATATTGTTGGTGTTGAAGTTTTAATTACACAAATATGTGTGGCTTTTGGTTTGGATACGGCTACGGATAATTCTTTTTCAATGGAACAAAAACGTTTATTTAATCGCAATTTTCAAGATTTATTTGATCATTACAAACATTTTTATGGAGGAGGAAACCAACCACAAATACCTTCCTCACGTGGTTTTGCGGGTTCTAGTTCTTCTTCTAGTGGTCATCGACAAAGTCGTAAAAAGTTGATGACTAATTTAATGAACGAGGTTTTAAATGAATCAAGTAAAAAAAGTCGACATGATAACGATTTTGGTGAACTAAATATGTATGTGCATACTAACTTTATGGTCGCATGTCCCGCAAATGATGTCGAAGATTTTGAAAAAATTGATTTATTAGATTTTTGGAAACAAAAACAACCTCAATTCCCGATTTTGGTGTGCATCGCACGTGATGTACTAACAATCCAAGCTAGTACCGTAGCATCGGAGTCTGCTTTTTCTCTTAGTGGCAGGATCATTTAGATACGTCGGACAAGACTAAGCCCGGAGTCCGTGGAGTGTTGCATTTGCTTGAAGAATTATTTGGATAGCGTTGATAGGATTCAACACACGACATCGTTAGAGACGGAGATTGAAACGGTGAAAGAAAATCTTGAAGAAAATGAAATCTTCATGGGACTAAGCACGCCACCAACTACCGATACCGAGAGCACTTACTCCCAATATGACGATGATGAGGAACTCGACATTGATGACCTTGAAGACCAAGAGGCTATTAGAAGAATTCA